ATATATATATATATATATATATATATATATATATGATTAAAATTAAAGCTAGTTTTTGAAAGCATTATACTTCATTTCATATTTTTATTATGAAACTTCACTGAGAAAAGAAATACATTTTTCTGATTTGGTAGGGAAAAAAAATCAGGGATTAGATCTTTAAGCCATGTCTCCCAGTCTTTACCTGCTTGTTGTGTAAAAAGGTCACAGGAAGCTTTTTATTGATTATTGGGCAAAGCCCTCTCCAGGTTTCTATTAGTTGCCACTGATGCAGCCTATGATTGAAGTCTTTACTGTAACCCGGGTTTTAATCCTGGTTGCCTCAGGAATTGTGTTCGGTGTAGAAAAAGTTGTAAAACTGCGTTTCTCCCTCAATATGAAAGCAGCTGAAAGGACTCCTCATAATTGGTCACCACACTGTCCCTTTAGTTTACCGTCTTTATTTACAGGCCTGCTGTACCCTCTGTATGACTGTGCCAAACTTTATTAAATGCGTTTTAAACCCATATCTCACTTTGATTCACCACACCTCTCATTTTTATCAGTATTTATGGTAGAAGTCCAACAAAAATATGCATTTAATGTGTTTGTAATGTGAAAGTATTCAGTGGATATGGGTACCACGGCAAAGGATCTAAAGTGGTTTGAAAGTGGTGACTGTGCCTTCTCAAACAGAAAGCTGTTTGAGTCTTTGGCTTTAACTGTGTTTTCATGTCTGACCAGAGAGAGTGTGTTTTGATCTACTGAAATTTTATGACTGTATAAAAATAAAAAAAATCAGTCACTGTTTTGTTTTTCTCTGTGCAAAGTGCTCGCTATTTGTGTAAGCATGAGCTTAAATTAATGTGTATTATTAACTTACATGCTTCATTTTTATTCATTTATCTGTTTTCCGCTCGACGTCACACATTTTATAAAGACTATGACAGATACCAGAAACACTGATATTTTTATGGAAATGCATTTTCATGTTCAAATGTTAAATTCTTGTCAAGTTTTAATAAATTTATACTAATGTTCAACTTTGTCTCAGTGTCAGAAATCCTTTCAGTTAATTGTTTTTTTAATTTTAGCATATATCTATGTATATGTATATATCTGTCTCTCTATATATTTTTTAATTTTTTAAACCTACCTATATCTATATATATAGATATATAGATGTAGATAGGCCTGAATATAACACTCCTTGGCATATTTCATTATGTTTGTTTTATCTTTGGCAATATTATCTTCTTTTTCTAGTCTAGCATTATGGTGGACCAGCTCTGCCATATTTAAAGATAAATACAGAAATAAATAAATGCTCAATAAATAAATAAGCATACAATTGATTGCCCCCAAAAATACAATAAATGTAAAAATGACAGGCAGAAATAAATAGCATTGAAGAAATAAAGAGTGTAAAAAACTACAAAGGAAAAATAAAACAGACAAAAATATTATAACATGCACTTAAATAAATACTTCAAAAAACGAGTAATTCATAAATAAAGCTGAAGATTATAACACGCACGTAATTTAACAAAGCAAACATTTTTACAAAGGTGAATAAATAAAGAAGCAAATTAAGAGATATATACAATTATGTCTCACTGTAGTTCATTTCTACCTACATTTATTTGTTTATTGTGTTTTTTGGGGGCAAATAATTGTATGCTTATTTATTTATTTATTTATTTATTTATTTATTTATTTATTTATGTATTTATGTATTTATTTTTAAATATGGAGGAGCTGGTCCTCCATACAGCTAACATACTCCTTGACATATGTGTACTTCATTGTCTTATCTATTTTTGATCTGCTTGTTGTTACTTAATTAAAATAATACGAGTACAAGGGCCAGGCTAGAGATTTTTTTTTCTTCTTTTTCAAGAATAAAGTTGTAACATTAAGAGAATAAAGTTATAATATAACGAGAAT